GCTACTGGAAATTAGCATCAGACTCTAATGTAATTGTGAGCTGATCAGCTCGCCCTCAAAAAGTTAAACTGCCCATTTGCCAAGACAATCACAAGGGATTCCCCTTCGGCATTTCACTTTCTCATTGTCTGAATAGCGATAAATCAGAGATTGTTTTCTTTGCATTGTATATTGGTTTGCCATTGTGCAAAGGTCTTTTTAATTTTCCATTTCTCCAGCAAGATCTATCATGTGTCTCTGAGCCGTGCTGTGATTATTTTCTTATTATCTTTTTCTGCCCTTTACACTTTTGCTTCTTTTTTTATTATTATTATTATTACAAGTTGTGTGTTCATCTACACTGGCAACAGCAACTGTCCTAATGGTGCATAGGCTTTTTTAGTGGTTTTACCTGTGTCTCTTCTCAAGACCCTGACCCTGTTGTCTCCTGTATCGCTCTCCCCACAGGAACGTGACTGAATACAGTGCATTCGGAGAACATAGGGTATATCTACACTACATTGTAAACCCAGGTCTGTCCAGGCATGTGAACTCGGTGTTTGCAAGCCCAAACGCGCTGCATTGTAAACCTAGTTTACAACTGCTTGTTCTGGGTCTCAGCTGTGCTAAAGCATCCATATTACACTACGCAGACCTCATGACTTGGGTCTGTGACTTGAGCTGCATCCACACTGCAAAACAACAGGGTTTGGACTTGAATTACAACAGGACTCTGGCTCCGACTGCCCCTAGTAGGACCTGGGACCTGAGCGCTTGCTGATCCGAGTCTGACTGGAAGTGGGGCTTGGGCTCAAATGGGAGTCAGAGCCTGGGCTTAGTGTGCAGTGTAGATGTACTCATAGACTCCCCCTTGCTCAGACAAACCTCAGCTGCTTTTTAAGCAGGATTCACATTTAGGCCTCCTTTAGAGATTTAAAAGTGAGACACTTTATCATGGCTTTTGGTTGGGCTAGTTTTCAGATGCAGAAGAAATATTCTGCGTCCTTCAGTTTTTATCCCCAGAAGTTTTTATTATCCTCGACAGTGCAGACAAAATCTGTATGTGTATACTTTTTTTAGAGCTTCTTTGTTGCATATGCTAAATCTCTGAAACTAAAAATCTCTTGGTCCCAGTCTCACTTTTAATAGGATAGCAAACTAAGAGGATACATAAAGATTATTCTAATTCCACCCTGAAGCACTGCTGCATATCTGGGAGCCATTCTATAACTGCCTTCTCCAGCCTCTCTAGAAAAGAGGTGCTTATCTTGATTTAATAAGTAATGATAGGAAAGTAAAAGACTGAAATGTCAAGCCGTAGAAAAAATGGGATTAGATTGAGATTGAGAACAAAAATTGAGAACAAAAATATTTGATTGAGAACAAAAATATTTGGATAGATCAGAGCCATCCTCAGGCTGCTTCTCCCCCCCACCCCACCACCCTTATTTCCCAAAGTAAATTTTAAATACAGAGAGCAACAGCTATTTCAGTGTTTATAGTCGGCTCAGTGTGTGCATTTGGTTTCCCATTTTCTTTTCTCTTTGGTGTGTGCATGTTCAAAGACCAAATTGGTGGGGAATTTATAGTCCCCTCTCATGACACTGTATCTCACTTTAGCACTGTATGAATTAATGGCGGGAGCATGGGGTGTGTGTTAAATGAGGGAATATGTGGGAGGTACGGGGAGGGAGGGATTTATCCATGGTGGGATTCTTGCCTCCCTCTGGGTACCTGCTAAACCGGCCCTGCAAGAGATGACTTGCATCCCTGGTTAATACAGAATGAAATTCACCCCTGTTCAGAGGCACAGGATAAGGCCTGTGTACCACTAAACTCACACTTACATTCTCAAATAGGCCTTAATTGGGACTTGGCTGCTGCAGAGATCTTGTACTAAGGCTTAGAGGTTAAAAAAAAAAAAAATTCAATCTAGGTACTTAACTGGCCCTTCATTGCTGTGGTATCTGAGCACCTCACAATCATTAATGGACTTTATTCCCACAATATCTCTGCGAAGCAGGGAAGTATTTTACAGGTGGAGAATTGAGGAAACTAAGTGACTAGATCACACACAAAGTCTCTGGCTGAACTGGGAATTGAACTGAGGTCTCAAGTCCCAGTACATGCCCTAGCTACTGACTACCCCATTCATACAAAGAGACTTCTGAAAATCAATATTGTTTGCTGTTGCACTAAATTGCACCTAGTGGAATGGATTTTCAGAAACGTTTCTAGAAGATGGGATGTTCCCAGAACTTCTCTAATAGACACTTCCTCCCTTCTCTGCAAGTTGCCAGACACTGAATTTTCCCACTTAAAGCTAAAAGCATTGGTAAACTAAATGAACAATAAATGCACGTAAACCTTACGACATTGTTCTCTTTATTTGCAGAAGAATATATTTCCTATCCACAGTAAAAGAAAGGTGACTGAGGTGCAGTAAACGATTTACTTTATTATACTTTTTATTCAAACTGACTTAGAACAATTATTGGATTGGCTGTTAACTTCCCACAAGAAATAGTAAAGATAATGGAATGATACATTAAAAATATAAGCCACAGAGAGAGAGAGAGAGAGATGTAAAAAAATAAAATGTTAATACATCAAAATATAAAATTACATACAAATCAAGTAATGACTGATAGTTTAAGAGTTCAGTGTTTTTATTATAGTGGTTGTATACTTTTTAAATTAAAAACTAACAATGCTTTGAAAAGGTGAAACATGAAAGCCACCATGTTTTAAATCAAAATGGAATTTCTTCAGAAACTCCCACAGCTTGACAAAAGAACAGAATCTGAGGATTAACTGTCCCTTCTTGAAGGCTGAGAGTCATTGTGAGAAAAGTGCTGTGACTTGAACTGCTGCAAAGCAGCTCCATTTGGTTCTTGCTGTGCTTTGTGATTTATAAATAGCCAGCGTGGGCTGTGTTTGGCTCACACGTGCTGCACAGTCAACAATGAAGAAGCTCTGCATTCTCCCAGGGGTGGTGCGCATGTGAGTAACTGCTCACCAAAGTGAGCATGATGTTCACACTCTGGTCCTGTGTGTGTTGTTATATATGCAGGGTGAACTCATCTTGGGTTAGTAACACAGTGAACTGTAATTTCTGGCAGTGGGTGAGCCTTGGCTCTGTTAGATGTTAGCCCACATTTAGGCCCAACAGCATTATAACTGGGTCATCATGCCAGTTTTATGGCCATATTCTACCATCAGTTTTTACCCAGAATTGTCACTAACTTTAAGGAGGGTAGGCTGAATTTCATCACTGTACAGAGTAAGTTCTCCTCTCCGCAGCCCTCCCCCGATTAAGAGGGATTTAAGTGGCACATAGGCCTTGGGCCAGCCCTATGCATAAGGGTGAATTTCACCCTGTGAGCAAAAGAGCAGCAGCATACAGTCTGCACTTGGTCTGCCTATGGCTAGTAACTAATGCTTTGTTCATCCACTTCTACGGGTGTTTGCAGAAAGTGCAGTAGAGAGGCAATGTGCAGAAACTCTCCAAGGATAGCTTGGAGTAGGTGAGCGGGGAGGTTGACGGAAGAGAAAAAGAAGAGGCAGCAGCAGGAGCCTTCCATGGGAGGCTGTGGATGAGTAAGGGAAAGGCTGCAATGGAGAAAGGAGAATTGAAGCCCAGGCAAGGCACTGACCCAGGACTCTTAGTCACAACCTGGATTCTGATCTAAAGATAAAAGCCAACCTTGTTTTGAATTACAGGGCTGTAATCCATCCTGAAGATCTGATGACTTCACAAACCACTGGAACTTGACTCTCATGGTTTGTCAGTTTTACCTCCCTGGATGAAATTATAACCCTGCTGTAAATCACAGCTGCCTGGTGCTTTGTGTGTGTGTATATATATATATATTTAACATTTTGAGGTAGAAAATTTTAACTCTAGTCTTGAAGTACACAAAGAATGGATTCAGAGTAACAGCCGTGTTAGTCTGTATTCGCAAAAAGAAAAGGAGGACTTGTGGCACCTTAGAGACTAACCAATTTATTTGAGCATGAGCTTTCATGAGCTACAGCTCACTTCATCGGATGCATACCGTGGAAACTGCAGAAGACATTATATACACACAGAGACCATGAAACAATACCTCCTCCCACCCCACTGTCCTGCTGGTAATAGCTTATCTAAAGTGATCATCAAGTTGAGCCATTTCCAGCACAAATCCAGGTTTTCTCACCCTCCGCCCCCCCCCACACACACACACACAAACTCACTCTCCTGCTGGTAATAGCCCATCCAAAGTGACCACTCTCTTCACAATGTGTATGATAATCAAGGTGGGCCATTTCCTGCACAAATCCAGGTTCTCTCACTCTTACCTGGATTTGTGCAGGAAATGGCCCACCTTGATTATCATACACATTGTGAAGAGAGTGGTCACTTTGGATGGGCTATTACCAGCAGGAGAGTGAGTTTGTGTGTGGGGGGGGGCGGAGGGTGAGAAAACCTGGATTTGTGCTGGAAATGGCCCAACTTGATGATCACTTTAGAGAAGCTATTACCAGCAGGACAGTGGGGTGGGAGGAGGTATTGTTTCATGTTCTCTGTGTGTATATAAAGTCTTCTGCAGTTTCCACGGTATGCATCCGATGAAGTGAGCTGTAGCTCATGAAAGCTCATGCTCAAATAAATTGGTTAGTCTCTAAGGTGCCACAAGTACTCCTTTTCTTTTTACAAAGAATGGACACAGTTTTGTAGGTCTATCTGGCTAGTAGCCCAGGGATTAATGTCTGAGAAACCATCATGCTTTGTTTGTAAACCCAGCAACTCTAATGGCCCAAACGTGAATTATTATTTTTTTAAAAGTCCATTTTTCAAACAAAAATGGTTGTTTTAAAAATGGGATACAATATACCGTTGTAAAAAATTTGCTTGAGCTAGTGATTTAAAAATTGAATTAAATTGAATTGAGTTTTTAAGGAGCTGTTTTATTTATTTATTTATTTTTAATTTCCCTCCTCATAGTCTCTGCAGCAAATAGCAGAAATAGGATTCCAAATGAAAATGTGATAACCTCAGTTTATTTTAGCATCCAAGCGAGAATGTTTTGATTTATGAGTACACAATTTACAAATTGTCTGAACACTGCACCATTGTAAATCACCAATATTTAGCTGGGTTTAGTTCCATTCCTTTTCTTTTTTTCTGTAGCAAACAAAGAGATTAAACAGATAATATAACTTTATCAAACATACATATGTATATACACACCCAAAAACCTTTCTTTTTTATGACAATATAGGGCAGGTCAAAGAAGTAAGCATAATATTAAGAAAAATTACTTAATGTTCGTACAGTATTCAAATATAAAAACCACAAATCAGCAGGTTATCACTTTAAATGTTCTGAGGTTTTGGTATTAATACGCATTTGCTATAAAATGTAAATGAAAATGGTTGAAAAGCTATTATTCTCTAGTCTTATGTTAATTATCTCTGCTATGTTGAATGCCAGTGGGTAAGTGCAGTCCTAATATAAGTTAGAAGAATTTGGTTATTTTGAATTCTATCCTAGTGGTTTTATATTTCGTAGGAATCTGAAAATAACTTGGGTGTAAGAAAGATGTTACAAAGGCAAAAAATTACTTATTCTCTCAGCAATACTGAAGAATACTGCCTTTAACATTACATGTTGAAGGAGAAAAAGACTGAAGAATGCACAAGTAAGGAAGTTGTTTATAACATTGTTAGAAAAATCTCACTCTGACATTAAAGGAGACTTTGCTGAATCACTTGAAATAGATCAATTTGTAATCTACACAATTACAGGAGATGCTCTGCTCTGAAAGCTGTTTTCCAGTCTGTGCCAGAACATGTGAAGCTGTGTAGAACACTTCTGTTGATAAACCTCCAGGCTCCATTTCTCCATAATTGATTTAGTTATTAGTTATGCAGGGAGAGAAGAGATCCTCAAGGCTTCGTAAGACCGTATTCAGTTACTAAAAGCAACCCTTTGTGAATTAACATTAAAACACCAGAACCCCCCCACCCCCCATTATTTCTTTAAGTCTTGTTTTCCTGGACACCAGCTGTCACAGAGGAAGTCTCCAGCCTCATCTTCTCTTGCCTCCTTATCCGGCTGGAGCTGCATCAGCATGGCCTGCAGAGTTTCCTTCACCATCTGGATCTCCCTCTGTAGAGACTGTACATGCTTTATTAAGGAATAAACCTAAAGGTGATTAGCAGCCCCTTTTCTCTCTCCAAGTTATGAAATAAATTGTTGTTCTGCTGTTCACAACAGATGGGCATTGCTATCTAATTGTGGCTTCAAGCTCTTCCAAATTGTTTGGATGAAATATTCATACATATTTCACACTTGCTTTTTATTTATTTATTTTGGATTTCCAGTAACTTTGAAGTCCTCAAGTGGCATTACTTAGCGCTTGTCTTATAAGGGTTAGAAAAGAACTCAGTTGGTTGGAGGGGGTTTTTTTTGGGGGGGGGGGGGGAGGAGGGAGGTATAGATCAATACAGAGGTTGTCTATTCTGATGCCCACAGGCACTCTTGCAGTCAGTCTCCCATTGGAATAACCTGAAATCCCAACACAGTTATTAATGAATATCAAAAGAGCTCCTGCGATTAATGCGGCAACCCCTCAGCTCCTGAACAGTAATCCTCACTAATACAAGACCAAGTACTATCCTTGGATTCACACGCATTGTGCTGCCTGAACTCAGTGGGAGTCACACATTTGCACGAGGGTAGAATTTGGACTAGTTACCAACTTTCACCGTGTCCTCCCCAGCACTTTATACATAGGAAATGGGAGAATTACCTGAAAATTATCCCTTCTTTGACGGGATAAGTCCACAGATTCTCAGTATGGGTCATCACTAAGGCTAGGATTTTGTCATGGTTATTTTTAGTGAATGTCATGGACAGGTCACAGGCAATAAACAAAAATTCATGAAAGCCATGACCTGTCTGTGCCTTTTGCTGCTGCAGCTCCATGGTTTTCCCCCGCCACTGTTGTGGCTGGGAGCTGTGAGGTTCCCCCTCTGCCTGCGGAAGCTGCAGAGGGGCCCCCCTCCACCCCCGGCAGCTGGGAGCTGCAGGGTGACCATATTTCCCAAAGAGAAAATGGGACACCCCCAGCCACTCGCCTGAGGTGTGTTCCCTCCAACCCCCCGTGAGGCTGTCGCCCACTGCTGGAACCCTGAGGAGGGCCCCCTCAGGAGTCTGTCACCTTGCCAGGGCCGCGCTGGCTGCCAGCTCCAGAGTCCCGCAGCCCATGCACTGAAGCGGAGCATGTCATGGAGGTCTCTGGAAGTCTCAGATTATGGGACTTCCATGACCTCCGTGACATAAATGTAGCCTTAGTCATCGCTAGTTTGTAACCACAGGGGGCAGAACTAGCCCCACCTTCCAAAGACTCCCTTAGTTACAAGATGCTTCCAAAGCTAAGCCCTCTGGACTGTGAAACAAAAAAGGAGTTTCTCATCCTGCATCAGCACCTTGCAAAAAAAATACTTGACAAGAAACATGAACAACAAGAAAGATTTTAACTTCTGCAGAGAACTTTAACCACAAGTTTGACAGATTTATCTTAATGGATTTCCAAGGGAGGGCTTTGTCTGTGGACCTATCCCTTTCAAGAAGGGAACATTTTCAGGTAAGCAACCACAAATTCTCCCATTCTCTCTCCAGGCAAGGTCCACAGATCCTCAATACAGGATTTTCTGAGCAGTGACAAAATTCCTTGGGAGGGAACAAAATGTCACTCAGAGAAAGGATTCTCTTACTCTAAGGAATTGCCACACCATGCAGGCCCTACCTGCCTAAAGGTTGCATCAGCTGAAGGCTGAGTATCTGTGTTGTAAAACTTGGTAAATGTATGCAGGAATGACCAGTTCTGCAGTTTTACAGATTGCCTCATAAGGGGCCTGCGCTTTCTCAATCCATGATGCCACCTCCACTCGTGCTGAGTGAGCTCTTCTTTTCACTGGAGGATTGAGATCTTTTGCTCCATACACACTGGCATATACACTGTGAGACTGATAATCTATATGCTTTAGCACCTCTTTTCCTCGGATGAAATAAGACCAGGAAGGCTGTTCTTCTTAAGCTCTCAGTTCTTTTCAGGTAAGCCTTTAAGGCTTGCTTGCATCCAACAAATACCACAGTTTCTCCTTTGGGTGAGAAGGATGTGGACAAAAGGAAAGCAATGAAAAATGCTTAATTGTGCTCAATGAAAAATAAAATTTACTTTTGGAATAAAGGTGGGAGCCATTCACAAAACCACCTTATCTTTGTGGAAGATGCCAAAGGATGGATCAGTTGCTAGAGCTCCCAACTCGGACACCCTTCTGGGCAAGCTGATGGGGATGAAAAAGGTTATTTTGATAGGTAGTGCAATGAAACTGATTTAATAAGTTCAAAGTGCACCTGCATTAAGGCATTGAGCACAATGTTCACATCCCAAGGCAGCGCTCTCTGCACCTTAGGAGGACCCAATAGCTGAACTGTTCTAATGAAGCGACACACATTCTTATGGTGGGAAACATAAGACTTTCTGGATACACTCAAAATTGTCGACAGTGCAGAAATCTGTACTTTTAAGGTATTAGCCTCCAACCTGACATAAAAACTGCCCTGTAAAAATTCCAGAACATAAGACACTTTGGTTACATGCTGCTGAATATGTCTCTTTCTGTGTGAATTTAGCCAAATCCTTGAATAAGACCTGTTTCTTTACTTTCTCCTAGATGCCAACAGAGTTTTGACAAGACCAGCAGAGTACCCTTTCATTTTAGAAACTTCCTTTCAAATGCCAAGCTGCTAGATTTGACTTGCTTGGATCTTGGTGAAGAACTGGTTCCCGAGATAACAAATCTGGCCTCGGATTCAGGAAAAATGGTAACTCTCACTGACATGTCCACCAGGGCAGGAAGCCAAAGCCTCCTGGGCCAATGCGGAGCCACTAAGATCACTCCCATTTCCTCCTTTCTAATTTTCTGTATTAACCTGGTGGTGATGGGCACTAGGGAAAGGCAAAAGGTAATAACCTCTTTGGCCACTAGAGTGACAGGCATGTATGCCCAGGGCTTCTGGCTCTCTCCTCCTGGCAAAGTATTGGCAAGCCTTCCAGAATTGGAATTTTGAAAATGTTGGTATTCAACTGGAAGGATTTGTTGTGAAGACTCCATTATGCCTAACTGATTTTCCTTCTGCTCAGACAGTCAACATTTTTATTGCTGGTGCCCTTGATGTGCAAGGCATTGATAGACAGCAGATGGGCTTTTACTCACTGCATCAATGATGTTGCTTCTTTCTGTTAGATCCCTTAACCTCATAATGCCCAAAGGCTTACGTATGCCATTACTGATAGACTGTCCATTGTTATAAGGATATGACTGTTCAGCAATGCTGAGGCCAGTTGTTGAAGAGCGTACTTTATTGCCCCCAGTGCTAGAAAATGTATGCTTTTCTTTTGTTTGAAAAAGGACTATGTTCCTTAAGTTACATGCTTCTAGGAGAACACTCCCCATCCTTCCAGACTTGCATCTGCTGTTATGACAGACCTGTCTGGTTCTGCATGTTCATCTCCCCCTGGAACCTCTCCAGACTCATCCACAAATCCAGGGAATTCAGAACAAGCGACAAAATGGTCACTTTCTGTGATGGAAATATCAGAGAACAGGGAATCGACATCAGGAAGCCCGGGAGAGTCCTCATATGCATACTTGATCAGAACACTATCCCTGTGCAGGACACAATCACCCCTAGAACACTCATTAGAGTGCTGACTAATGCCCTTGGGCATCTCCTCAGGAGGGTAATTGCTGATCTAATCTTGTCCTATCTCTTGGCAGAAACATTTTGTGAGCCTCTGCATCTAGATGAACTAGGCACTGATATGGCTGAAGACCCTTTTCGGAATGTACTATAAATCCATGCTGTTGTAACATCTGAATTGTGGTTCAGGTTACTCAAGTGGACTCCTTCTTGGATGGGGCTCTTACTTAAATGTCAGCCAGGGAAGGGTACATCTGTGTCTCCTACTGTCTGTGAACAGCCACCAAAATGAGGAATTTTGTGAGCACCCAAGGCAAAAATGACAGTCTGAAAAGCAGCACTTTGTATTGAAAATGATTGGTCCCATGAGTAAGTTGCAAAACTCCCCTGTGCCCCTTGTGAACTGGCACATGAAGGTAGGCCTCCCTCAAGTCGACTGATGTAAGGTAATCATCCTGGCAGATCACTCCCACTATTGACTTCAAAGTGTCCATCTTGAACCTGGGCCTCCTTATTAACTTGTTCAGGTGCTTTTAATCCAACACAGCTCTGTACTCCCCAGATCTCTTGGGTACCAGAAATAAGAACGAATATTGGCAGGAGAACATCACTGCCTTGGTGGCTCTCTCTATCACACTGATTTGCAAAAGATGATCTGTGGCCTTTGGTATATTCCGCCACTTTTGAGGATTTGAGAGTAGTTGAGAAGGGAGAAAACCATGATTTGGAATCTTCTGACACTTTTCTCGAACAACATCCAGGGCCCATCTGTCTGATGTTGAGAGGCCATTGGTCCTTGAATTTTAATAGCTCCCCACCCCCAGTTCTTGCTTGCTCGACCCACCTGACCACAGTCAGGAGTTGTTCTAGTGTTAGAATTTGCACTATGGGAAGAGTGCTCTCTCCCCTTCCCGAGCTTAAACTTGTTCCATCTGACTTTTTGTCGCCTCACCTTCTGTCTTTAGGGGATTAGCCATGAAAAGGTTCTTAAGCGTGTAACAGAGCTGGCTATTCCTTTTCCTTCGTTTGGAATCAGGAAGTCCTGTAAGGTCTTTTTGATTTATCTGAGGACTCTGTCATGACTTTGTCTAATGGCTCCCCGAATTGCTAACCTCCTGAAAGTTTCAAAGCTGCTAATATGGTTTTGGCCTATCACTGGACTCCCTAGTAAGCCAAGAAGAGCTACATAACAGCTGCATGGTGCAGCCCTTTGTCTCAATGGATCCCTTGTGGTACATGCACACTGCAGAAAATACCAAACAAACAAAACAAACCCTATGGCAGAGAGTTTCAGAGTATGGGTCAACTGACTCAGGTTCACGGGGCTAAAAACAGCAGTGTTGATGTTCCCACTCAGGCTGCTGTCAGGGCTTTGAGACCCTCCCCCCTCACCAGGTTTCAGAGCCC